AAACAATAACAAATGAAAAGCGTGTTCTACATATTTCTAGTTTGTTGAACGGAATTAGAATAAGATTGTCAAGGTTTGTAGGATTCTTTAACAAACTACAGTCTTCTTCACCAATGGCAGTTATGAAATCTTTTCTTCTTTGAAATTGATAAACATCAACCATCAAAGCATCATGAGTAATCTTCCACTTTCTACAGTGAAGCTCTGACAGGTAACTTATCAAGATTATTAGAATCCGTGTTTGAAGCGATGTCAGTAAAGGTTTCGAAATGATGCGAAAAAATGACATTTCTAGTTGAAGTGGAAATTTAACAAGACTTAAATAGTCACTTCATTTTGAAGTATGTCACGTAAAGTTGTGTTGTATTACCATGTTAGAATGAGAAATACGATAGATATTTAGTTCTACATTACGTATATTGATTGTTCGTTACAATAATGATAACTCACATAATTATGTGTAACATTTTAGATGATCGATGATTTTTCGTGCCTATAGGTAACCCTCGTATTATTGATAGAAGAAACCAGACAAGTGGTGAATAGGTCACTGTTTCGATCTTCGCTCAATCACAGTGGAGCGTGGAACTATCTGTTCAGTTAAACAAAGCCTCTCAACATACAATATGAGGGCGATGACTTCAATTAACTCGTGTTTGTGGGCATAAGATTTTGTAGGTATCAGGCTCTTTATGATTGAGAATAAGTCGATCAATCTGTGATATAGATTGTCTTCCTACGCTCACCACTTAGATTCATGTTTCCAATTTTATGCTTGTTTAGCTATTCTACTAAGACAACCTATAACATGCTAACTCGAACTTTTATACAAGGTTTCGGATAGACAAAAAAAAGAAAAGAAAGAAAAAATTAGGTAGTAAAAGACATAGTCGTTAGTATTCTTAACACTTCACCATCTATGTGCACACTCCCTTCTAATAGCCTGCTTTCCTTGCACCAACCTTGACTTCCCTTCTATTATGTGAGCTTGTAGAATTATGGTCTACTATGATACTAGTACTGTTCTAATAATAGACCTAATCCTAAAATTGTAGATTTGTCATGATATAACTGCCTAATCTATAAGATCTTACGTGGAAGTCACACCATCGACTACACCAACTCACTGTATCGTATCAATTACCAATACATGATGTAGAACAAGGTTAGGCTAGAGAAGGAACAATATATTTAATATGAATAGAAGATATAAGGTAACATTCAGCAGAGACCACGACTGCATGGTCGAGCCATGCCACTCGATCAACTCCAGTCCATTCAATTCATTGATCGCGCCCTCTTTTTCGTTAGGTATTTCTCCGCGTTAAATATTGAATACCTATTTTCTGAGTAGTCTCGTGTCCACAGCCTTGTGGACTGTGTGGCTATTGTCCAATGCCACTACAGATCTCATCACTCACACCCCCACGAGCACTTATGCAGCCACCCAGATACACGAACTTCTCCACTACTTCTATCTGTTCACCATCCAGGGTGAATGCAGGATTAGAATCCTGCCAGTCTTGTAGAAGTACTTTGCACTTCGAAGGTGCAAAGCACATATCATACCTACGGACACTGATTGCCAACTGATTAAGTGTGGATTGCATGCCTTGGGTATTATCGCACGGTAAGACAATATCGTCCGCATACTCAAGGTCGAGAAGTCTTTCTCCAGGCAACAGATCCACACCACCATTAATTACATTCATCAGAGCTGTTTCCAGAATGTCATCGATGGCAAAGTTGAAGAGGAATGGTGAGATTGGGCAACCCTGCCTAACCCCACTGCTCGAATGGAACAATGGAGAAAGGTGGTTGTATGCCCTCACTCTGCCTGGGGTGTTTGTATATAGGGTCTTTAGGATGTTAATAAACTTCTCAGGCACACCCTTCTTCAATAGACAATCCCAGAGAACAGTCCTGTCCAACGAATCGAAGGCAGCCCTGATGTCAAGAAACACTACGGTTGTTGGCCTTTGAAAAGTATGGCGGTGTTCTAACATTTGGCGGAGGGTGAAGATATGATCAATACATCCTCGACCAGGACGAAACCCAGCCTGCTCCTCGCGAGTCAATCTTTCTCGGGTTTTGAACAACCTACGAAGTATGACGGAAGCCAATAGCTTGGACGCAATCGGAAGTAAACTTATCCCCCGATAGTTGTTACAGGAACGACGTGAACCCTTTTTAAAGATAGGGACAACTATCGACTCATTCCATGACGTTGGTACACTCTCTAGTTCCCAAACCTTTGTAAACAACGTCGTCAATTCCTCAGTCAGAAAGTCACCACCATCTTTAAAAAGAGCCGGAGGTAAGTCATCTGGGCCAGGTGATTTGTAACGCTTCAAGAGTTGGAGTTCCTTGCGGACTTCCAACTCATTTGGTGGATCAGTCGTCACCGGCCATGGCTGGCAGGACAGTTTGACCGATGTTGCCGGAGCAGTAGGCCAGTTGAACTGCCCTTCGAAAAATTCTGCCCATCGTCCAGGACGTCGATGGATGTTAGTGATTGGCTAGACAGAAACAGGTTGTGGTCTGTGTACAGCTGCAGTAGACGGTTCCCGTTATCTGTCCTGCGACTAACAAATCCCCATCGGCCACCTAAACTACTCCATCCTGTGCCTAGACGCATGACCTGAGCATTCAAGTCTCCAGCTAGTACTACAATATCTGTCGAACGCACTTTCTGGAGAAGAACTGATAACTGGTGGTAAAACTCATCCTTGATTGCATCCGGGCTGCAATCTGTCGGGGCATAGGCGGAGATGACGAAAAGACATCGTTTCTCACGCCGATTTCTTCTCACTTTGATGGAACTTTCTAATCTAACAGCACATAACCGACTGTTAATGGGGATCCAATCGATTAGTGCTGTCCCAGCTTTAGCGCCTGGTGCGACATCGGCGCCAGCAAGACCAGACGAAGATGCCACAGGGTACCCGAATAAGCGCACGTGAAACAAGCTTTTCGAAGCGACAGATGTAGAGCGAATTTGTAGTACTTCGCTAGAGTCTTGAATACGGGTCTCGGATAGACAACAAACATCAATATTGAGACTTTCCAAAGACATGGCCAGCCCTATCTGTTGTCCGACCTGCATAAATGTGCGAACGTTGAAGGCAGCCAGTTTGAATGGTGCACGTGGTTTCAGAAAAACTGCTTCAGTACTCATATTCGATGGTAAAATACAATTTTCAACCGGACAGGGACTCGAGAGCGTTTAGATAGAGTCGAATTTCCACCATAGGCGATCTACTGTATAAGTCGAAAAATAAGGATACATAAAGTGGGAATAAAAAAGAGCAAATAAATGGCGTAGTAAATTACAAGAATAATAATGATAACAATAGTATTAATACTTGTTATTGAATCATTTGAATGTTAGTTGAAGCAAGAGAATTAATTTTCATCGCCATAGACAGTTCAGTTCATTATTTGTGTGTCGGCAGCGATAATCTCCGGGTGCCAAAATCGAAGCAAGAGGTTTTCTTAGGAGGCCACAGCCGGGATTTTGACCTAAAGGTCTAACCCATAAGGCAGTGGAGCATCGTAAGGAGATGCAGTCCCATGGTAGCCGGTGACCAACGATTGGTTCATACGCCATTTGTTCCCGCAGGATGCTGGAGCTCATGTGCACCATTGGTTTGGAATCCGGTTAAAGCGCTGGACATTCGCTTTTCGTCCTCTTATTTTCTTAAACAACAACCCACCACGCTCTCGGCCATACCAGGGCATTTTAGGGCATCAGCCAAAGTACTTGGCGAGGCAACACTAACAGTCACTTGTTTAGGGACAAAATATCTGTTCAAATATCAGAAAAGCTCACTTCCAAAATAGCACCAAAAGTGCATAAAGGATGGATTGAAATCAATGGCTTTCATAGATGATAAAAACATTAATGAACGATCATTGGCTTTCTAAATACTACATTCGTTTTCTATAATTAATGGCAATTTGAAAAAGTCATAGCGAAAGAGCTTTATTTATATATGTGTAAGTCAAAAGTTCATCGAAAAGCTAAAAATAACGGATTTCTTTTTCCACCTTAGATATTTAAATAAGCCTCTTTGACCCTATAAATTGCATTCAGTCGTGTCTATACAGCTAAAGGATGGAAACATTTGTGATACGTTCCAGAAGTGTTTGGTAAAGGCGGATTAAGAAGTACGTAATTACTGTCCATAAATGGTATAAATGGATCAGTAATTGCAGTCGTTTATAGAATAAAGCTGCAGTACACCTTGTCGACAAATCAACGTCGAAGGAACTGCCATTAGCCATAACAATCAATGTTCATGTTGGTGAATATGGACGTGTAAAAACAATGGATTTATACAAACCAAGAATAGATCGTTTGTTAGAGATGTTGGTGGGGCGGGGTGATGTGAAGTAAAGAGATGGTCGAAAATCAAGCATCTTTACCACTTAACAGGAACTCTTGATTCGTATTGTAGAACGTGATTCGAACAATCAGGTGCTCTATCAAAGTAAGTTCTGCCCGATATGGTGAACAATAAAAATTGAATTTGAACTTGGTTAAATGTACACCTATTTACAAACTTGGTGATGCGGATTTATCCATATTACGAAATTGGTCACAAATAATTAACACAATAACAGTAAACGACATCCTCAGAGATCTTCGTCCACAGATTTCAAGAATGGTACACTTCTTTCGTTATAACTGACACTGAAGACGTGAAGGCTTGGGGCTTATACTCTTCATGAAGAATAGAAATTTTATAGAACTAGTTTTATACAAAAATTGAAGGTTTGAGTTCTTTTGCAGAATCAGAAACAAAGTGTCAGAAATGATCAAGTATTTATAAAAATTAACAATATTCTATTCGCGGTTTGCTTTTTTGCTACTATTTGTCGTCATGCATCGTGAATTTGTTTTAACCAATAAAATGCTGAGTAGCCATACAATGACTTAGCCCATCGCAGGTGGCGGCAAGGCTCACGTATGGTCTTGGCAGTCTACATTTCGTGAAATGCGAGTGTGAGTGTCTGTGAAGAATAAATAATAGCATTTGCAACATAAGCTTCGTTAGGAGTTGATTAGTGCTTGAACCGGGATGTAAATTAAACTGTGATTACTGTATTCGTACCACATGCTAAATATAGCTTAAAATCTGACATCTATGGACAACCTAAGTTCAGACTGCCTGTCCGTCCCATCAAAGTGCTTCGTGCACTAAGTATCCGCAGTGTGCTTCGAGGCTTTCAATTGTTAGACGTCTTAATGTTGGTCCACGCCAGTAGGTCTATGGGTTAATCCAGATACTCCAGTCAATCAGACAAGTAACAACCTAATCACCTCACATAGCTTTCATTTTTGCCATGTGACTTGACAACACACAGTACAATACTCTGTCTTTTGTCTTTGCCACTAGTGACTTCGTAACGCTAAGTATTCCGACTATACGGACCATGGTTTGGCAAGCTGACGAAGTGATTTTCTCCGAACTTGGTGTAGTCTACGGTTGTTATCATCCTGTTCTTTGTCCCTGCAATGGTCATGATCGCATGGTAGAAGTGTGCAATAGGATGATCAACCGCAGTGATATGGAGTTACTACATGCTTTCATCAACCTTAGTACTGACTCAGTCATAGACATCGTAAAACCTAGTGTGTCTCGATTCGAGTCATCACACTACATCAGCATCGTGAGATAATATTATCATACAAGTCCCAGAGTAGTGCAAGTGATAACTTTCAATAGCAATGGAAGAGGTACAAACCAAGGAAGTAGTAAATTTCAGTATTCAGGGTCTGAGGACATGAAGAAGAGGCCCGCCTTTACCATTTTTGACGATTCCGAGCCATGCTACTCAAAGTCTCAACTCGTCAGTTACGACTCGCGAAAATCCCAACATGTTTGTCTATGCCCACTTACATGACTGAGCCCAAAAGTCAGTGACAGTCTGATGCTGTCCTAGTTTGGTCGCTCCCAGCTTTCACCCTACTCGTACAACAAATATCACTCTCCAAGGTAGAAGGTGGTAGGGCGTATGCAACGGATGTCCAGTTAACGTCGAGCGCTGACAATATGCTACTTCACCATTCCTCTCTGGCATTGCTATTATTTCGAGATACTATTTCACTTTGGTTGCACGACAGTATTTGTGCCAGGTCAACATGACAGACTTGCGACTCGGTGATCCGTTTGATCGCTTACTACTTGTAGTTTCCTTTTGCTTTACTCTACGTTCAAAAGTCGCAGCCATGGTACTAAAAGTTTACGAATTATATGTGCGACATCTGTTTGTACTCGATCTGGATTCATGTTACATCCCTTGTGACGCATGGCCAACGGTAAGTCAACAGCGATTGACATGGGTCTAGAACTCAAATCTTGTCTTGGTAGTTCGTGAGTTGGCTTCTCCTCCACGACGATCTCGCATGGTATTGTTTACAATTGCCTATTCCCTTCAAAGTTAATTTTCGACTGTCTTGTTTAATTCCAAATATTCAGTCCCTAAAGTTTGGTTAAGTACATCCACTTTCGGGTCACCGAAGATGACTGTAATTCTTAACAGTCTGTCGTCAGCTAGTTGATAAATCATTGACGTTTTGTGGTTTCAAATTCCTCTCACGCTAATCGAAAATGCACTGAAATGGTACGTTCTAGCAACGAGTTCTAAAAGGAGTAGAATCATAGTTTGTTATTTATTCAGAATAATTTGAATCCTGGTTGTGATCGGAAAAAGTTGGATATAGTTATTATTTAATGTTAGGATGTTTCATGAACAAAGTTAAGACCAACGAAATAAGAATAACATCCAGGGAGTTGTTTTTTCCTTGTACGACAGACGAATATTTCAAAACTAACGGTTTATCCTACCTGAGATAACTTGTCAGTTACAGTAATACCTCATCAGCAAGTAAAGTTAATTGTTCCATCCCGTTCGCTCTATGGCAATAGGTTACTATTTTAACATTAATTTAAACAGGCCCGCTGTAAAAATTTTCCTGTAGCCATCATGAAGTTACCAATAATATTTCCTCACTCTTCTCTATTTTGCTAGTGTTGTCTAACCAGAGTGTCGAAACGAAAGTCCTGTTGACTGGACACCGTTCTTCGAGTATGCTTTTTCCTGATACAGGCTAAGAACGCTTATCATAAATGCATCAACTCATGCTAAAAAATAACCGCTGTTTGATAATGTCATGGAAATACATGTCATTTAAATTTTAATGGGTTACAAAGTTTAGTTTCAAGTTGCTCTTATCCATTGCGGTCGTCGGCCCCTGTTTAATTAACTACGTAAATTTGTAGGACTTCGGACAAACTGCATACGTTCGAGTAGTGCTAAGCAGAGCTTTATCATATATATCTTATTGACAGTTAATCATTGTATAGTATTGATACAAAGTGACATGATAATCATGAGTGTCTTATGAACTCGTCGGTGTGTTGGTCGTTTCTGAATTAATTATTGTTCTTGTTTTTTAGCGATATGGATCCTGCCTCCATTTTTGAGGATGCACTTAAAGGTCTTGCAACTAAGGATTTCGATAACGGAAATGCTAAACCATGTGACAGTCTACAAACGTCAGTTAATGGTTCTAGTGACTTTCTAAAACCTGAATCTTACATCACGTATCCCGACAATCCACAATTACCTTCCATACAAAATACTCAGAAGGCTTCAGAAGAAGCTCCTAGTGCTTCTCAAAATGACATCATCCTCAGTGCTCTCATAAATGCTGGGATTGCTCCATCCTCTTTAAAACCTCAAGAAGTTTACTCTAATACTCCTTCAGTTTCAGTTACTGTGAATCCAAACGTCAAAGTTCTCAATGCTCAAGGTACTACCATACTGAGGGTTGTTCCATCAGGAAATGGCAGCAATTCACCAGTTCAGCAAGCATATCCTCCTCGAATGGCTAGTCAGTTGTTAAAGAAGCCTTCTGATAATGGTCTTACAATGTCTGGAATTACTCACATGCCAAATATCATACGGAAAAGGCCTCCTTCGCTTGTCGAAACTAGTCAGCCTTTTTCGAAAATCAGACGTGTACTTAACCATGGCCCAGTAGATAAAGACGTTAGCCATCAGATCACAGCATTTTCTGGTATGGGTACTGTCCCAACTAGCTCAAGTAAATGGTATGAGGCTCCTAATGTTTCACGACCATCCTTGCCTCCTCACTGCATTCGGGTACCTAGTCATACTCAAATGACTCCCAGATCATACCCGTTGTTAAAAGTAAGTTCCTAATTTTCGTTCAAATATCTATTATTACATCTAGGATGTTCTTAGTTCCTTAATTTTTCAGTGTTGAATGCGATAACCTGTGTCTCACACTCCTGTTCAAGCTTTTGCGTTGCTCGTTCACATCTGTTCTGGGATAGTAAATCGATTCCATCAAGCTTCCTGTTACTACCTATCAGCTTCAAAAGCACCGAGTAATACCGAGACTAGTGTACATGTTAAAGGTTGACATGGACTTCTAGACATTCTTTTATATTCAAATTCAACTGCAACTATCCAACTTCTGTCTAATTCAATGCTAACTGAATACTAAGGGCCTTTGATCTAGACACTCAGAGATGAAAATAGATGCACTGCTTTCGCTTCTTGTAGTGTCGTTTCTCATATATAATTCATTGAACAGGACTGTGTTCTGCGTTATTCGTTAGAATGATATGTTTTCAAAGTTTACTAGCAGCTTGAAAGCTTTGTACACAAACACCTCACCCAGGGTTAGAGCACATAACCACCTATCTTTATTGTTCCACCCGAGCTGTAAGGTTACGCACAGTTGCTCAATCTCATCCCTCTCCTTCAGAATAGAAAGTGGTGCAGATCTTGCAGTAATTTCCTCTTATATTCGTCATAAAAAATGTACAACTCGTACAACCAGGAGAATTTCTGAATCTGTTTAATTTATTCAGAACTATTATGATGGTCATTAGGAACGTTGTCTACGTTAAAAATAGTAAGAGTTTAATCTGTAGATGAATTTGTTGATCACTACATAAATTCGCTTCTAATATTGATGTGTTGTTTTGTTTACAAACATGATTTTTTGAAGTCATTTTAGTATGCTATCAAGAAACCTGATGTCGTTTATTCTCTCTTTTAGCGAGATGAAGATATGGATGAAGATGAAGATTTAGCTCAAGCTGAAACGTATGCTGACTATATTCCGTCAAAACGTAAGAGAATTCATGTTTTCACAATATACATGCACTCATAATTAGTGCACTGCACATTAATTGTGTTGTGCTTCTAAGTGGGTGCAACATCAATGATTGTGTATGCTACAGGACCAGCATTAGGAGAATTAATGCTTGGTAGTTTTGCATACTATAGTCTTCGATTAGTGTAAATATTTTTGGAATAACCCATATGATTTGATCATGTTCTTACTTCATGAGTTTGACTAAGTAATAAAGCGATCAAATTGACTAAGCGTCTATACAGTTGTTGGTAGGACATTTACTTTGTATTAGTGTACATATATTTTCATCAAATACACTGACCTGAATAAGATGATCGTTAAGATGACTACTATCAAATTCTCCTAGTCGTTATTAACCTTATAAAATAGTTGGTTGCATCTTAACAAAACTTGAGAATCATTTCGACTGACTAAAAACAAAATGTTAAAAGTGACTTTATTTCCTAATGGAGTTGGAAAAAATTAGATGAAGGAGCAAAACATAATATTCGTCTTTCAAACTTCTTCAGAGTTGCGGTCCAACATTAGTGGGTTTACTAAGGAAGGTATCAATGGGTATAGAGGTCCGAAATGGGTTCCGTCGACACACCTAATCTATTAGGTGCTCTTGTTTAAAAGAAATAACAAAACTTTTTTGATAGCTACAGACAAATCAGTTTACCTAACATTCACTTAAATATCAAAATCTAGTCATCTGATACCCAAATAGAAGAAAGCAAACCTAAGGAAATAAGGTGTCTCAAAATTATATTCGACCCACTAGTTCAATATTTTACGTTAAATCCTATTAGATTTTTTTCTGCACTGGCTATTTTCCTTAGTCTGATGACTGAATTGAAAAAGCTTATTGAAATAACTAACCTCAAAGGAGTTGCTGAAAAAAAGTATTATATTGATTATGGAAAATGTATGACTCGAGTCTTGGTACATAAACCTATTTTCGGTTACTAAGTAACATTCGTAATTGTAACTAAATTTTTATTACAGCTTTCATAGTTGAAGTCCTGATATTATGTCTTGACTTGACAGTGGTACACAAATAAGGAACTTGCTACTCAAACTAAGATTTCAAGTGTTTTATCTGGTGACACAAGTTTATTTGTTTTCAATCTTTCACTCTAAACTTGTAATCCTTTGTTACAACCTATTAACTTGTGTTCTCCGCTTTGTTGGTAAAAAATCTTTTTGTACCCTCTCCACAATTAAAAAATAACAAGTCTTGCTGAACCTGAAAGTTTCGTGTCGGGATTTCGATAATTTGTAGTGAAGCATTATATATATATTTACATATAAGGTGGTGGGGCAACCTTAGTAGATACAGTCCCCATGATAGACGGTGACCAACAACAGGTTCATACGCCTTTTGTGCTCTCAGGATCCCGGAGCCCATATACACCAGGGTTTTCCAACTCCCCTATGTGGATCTCCCGTGTCTACCAACCCAGTTAATGCGCCGAACATTCGCCTTTCGCTCTCAATTTCGTAAACAGCACCCACGCCACGAGAAGGCATCGAGCAGGACTTGCTTGATAGTGGCTGTATACATTTGTCCATGGGAGAGCATTTCGAGAGGGAGAACGGACTTAATAGTTATACAATAAGATTATATGTCAGTCCGTAAATAGATCCTAGCAATTACCATTCTCTTATTCTTCGTTCGGATATAACAATTACTCGACATTTACTCTTACAATTTATCAATTCTTGCGTATTATCTATTAGTCTTTACTGTTCTTCGTTATTCTTTTGAGAAAAGACTGCTATATTCTGGAAAGTGCTGAAGACAGCAGTGGTGAATAATATGGTTGTGGACAGACATCTAAAGTCCTGTAAACTTCTGACAGGTGTTATCCTATTAAATGCTAACTATTCACTTCATTCATATATTTCTCCTTGTATTGTGTGCGCTACTTATGTTGGCAAATATAAGTAGTATGTAACATCAGTCAGAGGTGGAATGCCTGGCTGCAGAAGATTGGGAGGATAAAATTGAAGACTCAGTCAGTACCAACGTAGAATTTCGTACGTACGTACATCAGTTCGAGTTGCCACACCACATTAGCACAGAGATGCAGTGGTCGATTCAAATCCCGTAGTGGTAGAGGTAGTAAGAGTATAAGCAGTAATCGGGAAGATTAGGGTTTGGAGATGTTATTCAAGGAGTATAATCCAGTGAAATAAATTTGGAAAGAGGAAAAAAAAGGACATGAAGAATTCAGAAGATTAGAATTTGGGAGAACACAGAGAGTGGATGCACCTGCGCCATTGCAAACGATTTTGAGCCATGTCATTCAGGGTCTCTAACCATCGGTTGCTATCATCTCGCGGTCCCCAACCAGGTAGTCTACACCTACCAACATGACTCAGTCCACTTGTCAGTGACTTCATGGACTTGTGCCATGTTTTGGTTTGGCCGCCCCTAGCTTTCTTCCAACCTACTCCTATACCACTGAACATAGCACGTCGAGGCAGTCGGTCGTTGGGCATACGTAACACGTGTCCCAGCCATCTCAACTGATGAAGTTTCACTACTTCATCAATTGATTTGCCATCCTTACCTAGTACCCGTTTCCTAACAACTGTGTTACTTACTCGATGGTCCCATGATATACGAGCAATGTTTCGAAGACACCTATGATCAAATACTAGTAACCTACGAATATCCTCTACTCTTACCGGCCATGTTTCACTGCCATAAAGTAGGACGGAACGAACTGCTGCGCAGTAAACACGTCCTTTGGTTGATAGACGGATATCTCGCCTACGCCATAAATGACGCAAGTTGGCAAAAGCTAGTCGAGCCTTCTGTATCCGTGCTGAGATTTCGTCACACACAAACCACAAGGGCTGATGAGACTTCCAAGATAAGTGAAGCGGTCGACACACTCAACTACTTCACTCCCTATCACTAGTTCGGGTGTCGATGTAACCCAATCCTGAAGCAACATTTTGCATTTCGAGGGAGAGAATCGCATCCCGAACATGCTTGCATTGTTGCTTAGAGTGGTCAGAAGACTCTGCATTTTGTCAGCGTCTTCACCAAATAAAACTATGTCATCAGCATATTCTAAGTCAACAAGTGAACCTCCCGGTAGAAGTTCAACCCCTGGAAATTTAGATGAGGAGAGTGTTATCTCTAAAAGTACGTCGACGACAAAGTTGAACAAGAATGGGGAGAGTGGACAGCCCTGACGAACACCACTTGAGGTAATCAATTCTGATGACAGTTCGCCATAAGCTCTCACTCTACCAGTTGTGTTCGAGTAGAGAGCCTTTATAAGGTTAATGTACTTCTTTGGTACTCCTTTCAGTGACAAACACTGCCATAGAACCTCACGATCAACAGAGTCGAATGCCGCCTTAAGGTCGAGAAATACTACCATTGTGGGGCGTCTGAATGTGTGTCTGTGTTCTAGAACCTGACGTAGTGTGAATATCTGATCTATACAACCACGTCCAGGTCGAAAACCGGCCTGGTTTTCTCTAATCTGCTCTTCACGAGCTTTGATTAGGCGTCGAAGTATTATTGAAGCTAATATTTTAGACACTATATTAGTCAAACTGATTCCTCTGTGATTGTCACAAGAGGACTTTTGTCCTTTCTTATAGACTGGCACAATCAGTGATTGAGACCAGTCAGATGGGATTACGTCCAGTTCCCAAATTCTACCTAAGACCTCGGTTAATCTCATTGCTAATACTGGACCACCATCCTTAAAAATCTCAGGAGTAAACCTGTCAGGGCCTGCTGCTCTCCCTCGTTTCAGATTTCCTATGGCTTTTTCAACTTCGTAAAGGGACGGAGGACCTACATTAACTTGCCATTCAGGTTGACTAGAGATCGTGGGAAACCGAAGTGTGGCTGAAGGCCAGTTGAACTGATCCCTAAAGTGTTCTGCCCATCGATCCAATCTCCTGGATTGAGAATGAATAATATGTCCATCTTTCTCTGAGATTGTTTCGCTAACGGTCGGGTTCCTAATTCCGGTTTCCTTAACGAGTCTGAACAATTGTCTGCTATTACCTATTGCCGCTGCCTTTTCCATCTCTCTTGCTTTCGCTACCCACCACTGTTCGCGATCATTGCGTAGACTTCTTGTCAGCTTGCGCTTAAGCTGACTCCGCTCTTCATTATGTTCAGAGCCAGGTGGAATGAGTTTCCGAGCATCTATCAGTGCGATAGATGCTGCTGAGATCCAGTGTTGCTCCCTAACTTTACGGTTTACCTTACTAGCAGATATCACTGCTTCTATCGAGCCCCTCCATCGGTGGCTGATAGCGATGTGATCTATTTGGGTCCAACGTTGGGAAGAATTAGGGGGTCGCCATGTTAAAAAATGTTTTTCCTTATACTTAAAGTTAGTGTTTGCAAGGAACAAGCGGTTTTCTGAGCATAGTTGCAACAGACGGTCGCCATTATCTGTTCTTTGAGCTACAATGCTATATGATCCACCCAGGTGTCTTTCCCTATCGCTTAGTTTACCTACTTGAGCATTAAAGTCACCGGCCACTATTACTACATCCGAGCGCCTAGCTTTTAGGAGGAGGTCGGAGCTCTTTCTGTAAAACTCATCTTTTACATCATCTGAGCTGCAGTCAGTGGGAGAATAGGCAGAGACGACGAAGAGGCAACGACGAGTGTCCCTATCTTTCCGGATCCTTACTGTTCCGTTCAGTCGGACAGCGCACAAACGACTGTCTACTGGGATCCACTCTAAGAGAGCTAGTTCTGCCCTAGGACTCAATGCTATACCTACGCCGGCGAGGCCACGGGAAGCAGAATCAGGGCTTCCAGATACACGAAGCGTAATCGAGTCGGTTCTTTATTTTGGCATGATGAGGTCAAATGAATGACGCTACTTGGATCCTGTATGCGCGTTTCGGAGACGCAGCACACATCGATGGCGCGAGATTCTAAAGTCCTAGCTAAGGAAGCATGCTGTCCTATTTGGCACAGTGTTTGGACGTTAAAAGCTCCTACGTGTAGTTTAGAGCGTGGTTTTAGGAGACCAGGAATAGCGTTCCTCGTACTCGAATCGTTTGCTCTAGCAGTGCGAGGTGATAAAGAGACGTGAGGAGGGTTAGTCATGGAGATAAGAGAGGTATTAGGAGGTGTAGGAAGGATTTGAATGTGACCAACTTGGTCTCGTGTGCTGTTACGGGTATGAGGGCTGATGTCACTTCCCGGCTGCCCACACCGTGGAAGGGTATTTCTTGAGGAACCTGAAAAGGAAATTGGATTAGTGTTGGTCTTAACGACCTGGGAGCGTGACCGCAGAGCCGAAGGGACAACTTCTTGAGGCCGGTCGCGCACGGCCTTTTTGTGGAAGGTTTTTGACGTGTTAGCTCCGTTCTTCAAAGGGCCTTACCGCCGGAGACGGAAATCCGTGAGGTAAGGTGAGGTGTGACATTTTTAGGGTCGACCTTTTCTAACCCCACCCCTCCTTGTGGGAAGGCAGCATCGCTGTCATGCTGGTTGTCCGAGGGAAACACCTTACTGCTGTCACACCCCTGTACAGTCAGCAGTACGACTTCGCCCTCGGACCTTGAGTTGCTGCTTTTAGTCTTACCGTTCTCCAATCGACCTGCCTGGCATGGTAGAACCTACAGGAACATATGTTCCAGCCAATATAGCTCGGTTGGGTCATCACGATAGTCAAGCCCGACCACCGCGTCAAGGTAGCAGCTTCAATCGGGAGAAAAACAGGAATATATACAGAGAGTAATTGTGACAACATCTGGAATGAAAGAACGATGAAGTTTGTAAGAAACAATCAATCGAAGATGCCCAAATGATGTATTTAATGTATGGTTTTAATATTTTACCAAGACACTGATGTTGCATTCCCGTCTGAGTTCTTGTTCACTACAGTATATCTTCTGGTAGAACGAGACGTCAATACATTAGAATCCTCGCGCGCAAGCAATGGTATAAAAGCTATACAACACCTTATCTAGCAAATTTACTATTTAATAAACAGGTTGTTAGGGTTGTCCTAGTCAATAACTTGTATTCTTTAGAATGTTTCTAACTGAAAGATGTTGTACAGATTAAAATCTTAGAATAGGCATTTCATTTAATTTCAGGTAGCTTATCTACTTAACTATTTTATATATGTATACAGTTATCAGTTTCTTTCACCTTGTTTCCTTTTCCATTGATAACAGTAAGAAATAACTTCATATGTTCTTAAAATATAATGACGTTCTTGTTATTTCAGTGAATTATGGACAAAAGCATCCAGATCCTGTTGTCGAGTCGAGTTCCTTGTCCAGTGTCTCTCCTCCAGATATTCATTATCGCCTGATTCTTCCGGATGAAGTTATCGAGCGGGCGTATCTTTCAGCTTTGCAACTGGAAGCAGTGGTGTACGCCTGTCAACGTCATGAGTGTATCTTACCGAATGGTCAACGTGCTGGTTTTTAATTGGTACGTTATTTGTTGTTTGCGTAGTATTTATCATACATTTCCGTCGCTTAACAAAACTGTAAGCTGTGGTACTAGTTAACCAAACGTGAATTTATGTACTCATTTTATCGATTGAACTTGGTGCAATGGGTCTCAAATTTTTTAAAGAATTTTTTAATTTTTTGTGAAGCTATTCATCCAGGATAGCTAACCTTATGAATCGAATCTACCCGAGTCAAAGGACTAATCTAATGCTAATTAACATATGTTGTTATGTTCAACTCTTTTGGTCGTGAGGTTCTGTGTGCTTGTCATTCAAAGGCGTACCAATGAAGTGCAGTGACTCTGTTAAGGCTTTCTACTCGAGCGATTCTGATTAAGTCAGAGCTAACGACTAACTGGTATCAGAATTAATAACTTCACGTGTCGTTCATCAGGCCTTTCATTTTCCCAGTTTTTATTTAACTTTGTCATAGAAAGGCTTTTAGCGACAGAACTTTCATCTTTTGATTTCAGGGATCTATCTTGCATCAGGGGATCACATGATAACTTGGAATAGGCAGATTATATACTTCTGCTTGATGAAGACGCTGACAAAATACAGTCTTTTTACCACTTTAATAAGCAATTCAGGCATGCTTGGGATGCGATTCTGTCTCTTTAAATGCAAAGTGTTATTTCAAGAGTAGTCTGCGTCAGTGCCTGAATTAATGATAAGGAGTGGAAAAGTCGATCGTACAGACCACTTCATTTACCTTAAGGTTGTCATCAGTTCTGGTGTCTGATGAAACCTCAGCACGGATTCAGGAAATCCGATTGAAGTTTGCCAACTTGAGTCACTCGTGGTTTGAGTGAGATGTCTGTCTGCCAACCAAAAGCGTGTGTACTACAAAGAAGTCTGGTTTACCTTGTGGCTGTGGAACATTCTACGAAATTAGAAGACCTACGTAGGGTACATGTTTTTAGTCATGTGTTTTCGAAGCATTGCTTGGGTCCCACGTAACTGTCGAGTGAGCAATGCTGATGTAAGAGATAGGATACTAAGTAAAAATAGTGGGATTGTAAGTATTCATCGACTAAGGTGGTTAGGACGCACTTTTTGTATGCCTGGTAACTGCTTCGAATCGCAATGCTTGATATTACAGAAGTAGTTTGGGAGGAAGCTAGGAAACGCCAAACCAAAACTTGGCATCAATCCATGAGATCACTTACTTGATATGAGCCATGTGGATGGATACAGACTACCTAGTTCGAGTCCGTGTGATAACTGCGATCAGCAGTTGGAGACGGTGAAGTGATTTTAAATCATTCATACTTGCGCAGATGCACTCTTTATTTCGCTTTAGATGTTAAGTCCCATTATTCCTCCATACATAATTCTTCCGTTTTTAGGAATCGTATTCTTAATATTCAGTCTTTCTCATTATCGTCGCTATCACATTATTACCATATCTTTTACTAATCACGTCAAATTTTTCTACCTCATTTTGCAATATTGTTGTGAAAACTTTGGTCAGTGCACATTTCTGCTAGGTTCTTTGTTGATCATGACTAACAGAGTAGTTTAGCAGTTAATATTTGTCTGTCAACTATAATTTTCAGAAAAGGTTTTTAGTTGTGCAGGCGTAATTAATCTTTTACTGTTAAATCTTACTAACTTTGTGTGCCTTGACTAAAAACCCTTGTCACTAATTTAGTAGCTTACTCAAGTATCTAACTATTGTAGCACGCGATTATTACATTTTAACGGTACAATCGGCTAACAACTTCATTTTTATGAATACTTTTTAAATGATATTGAAGAGGTTAAGTTGTAGGTTCTTGGATAATACCTAGTTGTTTACCTCATAACAAGGGAACCAAATAATTTGGCTATAGTTTAAGTCATGGTCAGACTCATGATTTCTGAATATTCAGCTATTTGGAATGGTTATTACTCAATGACATTTTACGGGTTGTAAATATTACAAGTATTCAATGTGAAAATGAATACCGGTGAATCGAAATATTACTGTGTTGATATTTTTCAAGAATGACAACAACTTCATAGTCATTGTAAACTTGCTATAGGAAGCAAAACAAGTATTTCCCTAAACACTTTGTAGTCCAGTCATCTTCCAATAGTTGCAAAATTTTAGGCATTATGAGTTACTTCATTTTAGTCGAGAATATACACATTTCCATCCAGGTAAGAAAACATTTTTGTTACATGTGCATAACTGTGTTTTCAGAAATTCTCTCCTTTTCATATCGTTTTCATGAATAACATTATGTAACATTGTTACTATAAGTCTGAAGCTCATGATTAAACAATGGTATATCAATGAGCTACTGTATTGTTTCAATTATTAAGAAAATGTACTGTTATGAGTCCGTGTAGGGCCAGATGCGTAGTATAGCAACGTAAAGTGTTGTACTTTTGTATGACTTTTTAGAATATGTTCATTTTTCTGTTATTGACTTGTGAACAAGCGCTTCTTAGGCGCTAGACTTGCTTTTGATTATTCATCAAGTTTATGGTTGCCGTTTTTCTGCTGACAATACAAATCGACTTGTGACAATAAAAACACCATAGTATCCTTCGATATTTACTTTTGTTTATTCATATTATTTGATGATAATGCGGGTGAATTATTACAATATTTCTTAAAGTGGTGCATTTGCTTGCTCCACCACAGGCGACGGGGCAGGTGTGGGAAAAGGTCGCACCATTGCCGGAATATTATATGAAAATTATTTACGACATCGTAAGAAGGCCATTTGGCTCTCAGTTTCAAATGATTTGAAGGTCGATGCTGAACGCGATCTGCGTGACGTGGGCTTGGGAAAGATCAAGGTTCATTCCTTAAACAAGGTGAGACTGTTCGCCTTGGACTACATAAGGTCCATTCATTATTGATCCTGATGTTTATTTAACTGCTTTGTATTTCAGCCGTTGCTCTTATTCACCTATAAAGTCTAGTCGTATTAGGCGAAGTATGTTTTTTTTTCAAAACAGATTTTCAACTATAATCCCGTCGTTATAGCTATTCCGTAGGTAACTAGCTGTCTGATTCTTTTATGTGCAATCTACCTCACTGGAATTCGACTCATAAATAAAACTAATAAAATATATAAACATAAAGTAAGATTTCATTTAGCATTATATATTTTTATGGGCACTTGAAAAAATGATACAGACTTCATAGATGACATCTAATTATCATTTTTGAAGGCATCCATGTACTCAACATCCTCAAGTATATTTAACAACAACAAAGAAAAAACAGATTTGTTTGTGTTCACAAACGATGTGTACTAACTTTCGTGATGACATTTTAGAATAATAATTTCTCTGGTTATTTTCTCATAATCACATAAGTGGTTATAATGTTGTTTCCATGTGCTTGTAACAACAGTCTTGTATATAAATAGAAATTATCACATTCAATCCGTTTTCAATATCATTTCAATGTAGTTTCTTCATCATAAAATTCAATGATTACCTTAGAGATATAGTTTTTGTTTTTTCTGAATTCATTAGTAACATCATTAACAATATTCCACACTTCTATGTTTCTTTCTTCTTTTTTTCTTTTTTTCTTTTTCTTCTTCTTCCACTATTCAGTTTAAATATGCTCGTATTTCTGGTAAAACTAATGGACGTGTAAAAAAAGGTGTTATTTTTTCTACTTATTCTTCATTGATTGGTGAAAGTCAAGGTAGTGCAAAAGCAAAATATAAAACTCGATTAAAACAACTTGTTCATTGGTGTGGGAAAAAATTCGATGGTGTTGTAAGTCAGTAATTAGTATTTTATTTTTTTTCTCTTTTCATTTTTTCTAATGTATATTGTTGAGCTAGTTTTTTTGTCTCTTCACTTTGACCTTTATTATTCTCATAAATACAATTGGATTATCTTCGTTACTATGTGACTTGATTGAAACAAGATTGAAATTTAGTTGACAAATCTCATTCCATCTTTTCATATTGAATGTTACTTGTTTTTCATATTTTACTAATTGTTACGGGAAAAATGATATGGATCTAGGAGGGGGATCTATGCTAAGCGCTTTTATATGGTATTATGGAGGGTTAATATTCTTGACATTTAGAGTAAGAGTGATTATGCTGTCTGTATTATTCTTCATTTGCTTACAAACGTTGACGTTTAACTGATATCAAACGATTTAAACAACTGGTTGATCTTTTAAAATTTTCCTAACTTCAGTATTCACCTTATTTTTTAAAGATAGCTGTCTGAAATAAACTTTCATCGATATTTCTATAAATGAAACAATTTACTGAAAACTTTCTAACCAGTCGTACAATCTCATAGTCATCGCCAGCTTGTATTAACTGTACTGTAAAATGTTTTGCTAAGTTTTAACTTATCTAGTTATTTAAAATAAAGTTTTTAGCTAGATATTGATTGGTTTAAAGCATGTTTCATTTAGGATTATGTTGAAACACGCTGCTTACCCCATTTTTAACGAACCAGCGCCATTGGGTAAATAGGGAAGACTTTAGAATCTTCTTGTGTAAAAATTAAAAAATGTAATAACGTTTTATTCACTGTAATTCACATTTATTCAACTTAGTTTATTTTAGAATATGATTATCCTACTGTCCAAGACGTATCCTGATTTGGTGAGCAGTTGAATGGAGTAATGTCCGTAAAATACTAGGCATTAGATTTATCGATTTAGATAACAAGGACTTAACAAAAGTATAGTACATACAGTTGCTAAATAACGTAAGAAATATTTCATCAAAGATGGATAGTGGCTAGCAGTGGAATGCAGGACACGCGTTTCGTCCTATTTGGGACTCGTCAGTTGGGTGTATCTGCTTAAAAAGCTTGTGACTTAAGGCTATATCGAGGCAATCTGCACAGGATGCACATATGCCAACATGAGACTGATTGATTACAGTCCTAAATAACAATGGGAAGATACAAGTAAAACAACACCAAGTGAATTTAACTTAGGAAATTCTTTGAAATGTGAACATGTTTTGGAAAAGTGCTCATATGTGAAGATTTTCTGATCTTTAAGCCATCATTCTTTGTCTAGTCAACTAGTCATTTGATTCTGGTAGCATTCCAAATCCTTTCATAGGCAGGCGGTTACAATTTCTAGTGATCATACAAAATATTTTACCTTTATGAGATTTGCTGTGCGAAAATATATATATATATATATATATATATATATATATATATATATACTAACACCTTTGTCTTTTCATCGTTCTAAATTCAATGTTACTTTCCAATAATAATTTTACTTTCCACATAGATTGTGTTTGACGAATGTCATCGAGCTAAAAATTTAACTCCTAGTGGTTCTCAAAAACCTACAAAAACCGGTCTAACTGTACTTGAATTACAAAACAAACTACCAAATGCTCGGATTGTTTATGCCAGTGCAACAGGTGCCACTGAACCTCGTAACATGGCTTATATGACGCGTCTGGGACTGTGGGGTGATGGGACGCCATTTAAAACATTTAATTCATTCATCCAAACACTTGAGCGACGGGGTGTTGGTGCTATGGAATTGGTTGCTATGGACATGAAACTACGTGGAATGTATATTGCACGGCAGCTCAGTTTTCATGGTGTGAATTTCAGCATTAATGAAGTACTAATAGAGAACGTCAAATTAGGCCATGAAAGCTTTATTCATGTATATAATCAGTCAACTGACCTGGTTAGTGTTCCTTAACTCTATCATCTCATCACGATCAGTATACTCTCATGATTAATACGTAATTTGTTTAACAAATATATATTAATATTCTGTTTGACATATGGCGTACATTAATCACTATAGATGTTATGTCCGGTCGTTTATTTTTTAGAAACACGTGTAACTGAGCAGTTTAAGTAGCAACCCCGAAAGTGGAACACATTTTTTAGGTGGGTGTTTTAGTATTCCGGTTAAGCGAACAGATAATGGTGACCGTCTGCTGCAACTGTTCTCAGACAAGCATAAGGAAAAACATCGTCTAACATGGCAACCCCCTGCACCAAACCAACGATGTACTCAAATAGACCGTATTGCCATCATTCACCATTCGAAAGACTTAATAGAAGACTGCCACTCGTTTTGGAATACATGTCTAGACTCTGATCATGCTCTAGTACAAGCACTCATTTGTTTGTGTCTCACTGGACGCAGAAAAATTCACATAAAAAAACCCACTTAAGTTGAACTCAGCGGTGAGAAAACCAAAGATAAATTCCAGAAACAACTGAAGTCACAATTAGGCGATTTTGAAAACGAGGCTGATCCAGATGTTTCTTGGGATGATATACAGACAGCTATGGAAACAACAGCGACATTTACTCGTGATTTAAGCCAAAGGGTTACGGAAAACCAGTGGATTTCTACTAATTTTATTGCACTAATTGATTCTCATAAACTAATCCCATTAGGCTTTGAATACAATAAAGAGCGTAAACAAATCAGATCCAGGATAACTAAAAGTCTATGGAACGATCGTGAGCAGTGGTGGTCAACAGAAGCAAAAGAGATGGAAAAGTCGACGTCTGTGGGTAACACCAGACAGGTTTTGAGACTAATTAAAGAAACTCGAATTAAAATGTCAAATGTATCTCGGAAAAAGACCACACTCTTATCTGTTCCCAGCCCAGACGTTCCGAACGTTGGGCGAAACTTTACGGAGCATTTCAGCTGACCGTCAGCTACCCACCATTTCCAAATAGCCTGAATGAAATTTTGAAATAGTCCGCTTCTGACTCTAATCAAAGTTCATAAGTCTATAGCTAATCCATATGTATTAGCTCCATAGGTTTTTAAGGATGGTGGCCTAGTTTTAGCGATAAGGTTAACTAATATTTTACCTAAAATATGGGGGTTGGACGTAATCCCGTCTGACTGGTCGCAATGACTTATTGTCCCAATATATAAGAAGGGGTCAAGATCACCCAGTGACAACCATAATGGGATTAATTCAACTAACATAGCATCTAAAATACTAACCTCAATAATTATCGGGCGCTTTACAAAAACCCACGGACTGGAAACACGCGAAAATCAGGCTGGCTTCAGACCTGGTCGTGGCTACATCGACCACATATTCACAATTCGTGGTGGTGGTCCTCCTTGACTTCAATGCAGCGTTTGACTCTAGACTGGGAGGTTCTGTGGCAGTATCTATCATTGAGTTGTGTACCTCAGAAGTACACAAACCTTGTGAAGGCTCTTTACTCAAACACTACCAGTCGAGTCAGAGTTTATTGCAAACTGCCATCTAAATTTGCAACCTCAAGTGGTGTCCGGCAAGTCTGACCACTATCTCCATTTTTATTTAATTTCATCATTGACCTACTTCTGGGATTCCATTCATCACTAAACTTATCACAGTCACGTAAACATTAGGTACGCCGATCTACAAATGTTATAACTTGTTTTTTGTTTAGTTTATTGTTAATAATGCTATTGAATACTGTTACTTTTTTTTCTCATAAATTATTTAGTGGGTATATGCATATCGCTTCTTCTCAGAAGCGTCACGTTTATTGGATCTAAGTGATCGTTATCGTAAAACTATGTGGGGACAATTTTGGTCTGCTCACCAACGATTTTTCAAGTATCTTTGCATTGCTGCCAAAGTGGAAAAATGTGTTGAAATTGCTAAAACTGCTGTCGATGAGGGTAAAGTAAGTGGATATTTGTTTTCCGAATTATGCTACCTAAATTAACGTAGAGTATTACTGGAATCTTACATATTGTGTTTATTTTGAACTTGTTTGTGATCCAGCGTTTATTGTTTATTTATTTTCGAAGAAAAAATAATTACCATCGTTAATGGGATGTTTTATTACTACTTAAAATTAGACGAGCCTGGATGACATGGCTCAAAATCTTTTACAATGACGCAGATACATCCACTCTTTGTGTTATCCCAAATTCTAATATTCTGAATTCTTCATGTCCCTTTCTTTTTTCTCTTTGCAAATTTATTTCACTGGATTATACTCCTTGAATAATATCTTCAAACCCTAATCTTCCGGATTACTGCTTACACTTTTACTACCTCTACTACAATGGGATTTGAATCGACATTTGTATCTCTGTGCTAATGTGGTGTGGCAACTCGAACTGATGTACGTACGTACGAAGTTCTACGCTGTTACTGACTGACTGGGGTATTGTGCTAAGATTTAATTCAACTGTATTTCTCAGATTTTAAGAGATGCGATATAAAGTGTGCTAAATACACAGCTGTTAAATTTTTTATGATTAGCTGCTTTCTCATTATTATTCACCGTAGATGTCAAGTGTAAAAACAGTTCTGGCAGATCATCACAAAGAGTAAGTGACAACACAGGTCCTCATTACTGTCGAGGAGTTCACTTATTTGAACTTAGTTTCTACTACTTATTCGGTCTCTGAATCAATTTTTTATGTGCAATTAGAGACACACTATGCATTAGTTTTGTCCATACATATCAGGAATAAATCCCACGTGTTACTGTGGGAATGAAATAATGACTAAGCAACCAGTCATTGCCAGTGGCTGTTAGTAATTCATTTCCTTTATTATTTGATATTTTACGTTGATTGTGTAATGTAATCGCTTATGTTTACCATTTTTAATGTAATCTGATTTGACTTGTGATCTGTTTTTTCTGTGACCCTTTAAGATACCGTAAGTGCTGATTATAAATCATATCTCTTTTTCTTTTATCAGTGTGTTGTCATTGGTCTTCAGTCTACTGGTGAGGCTAAAACTCTAGAACAAGTTGAAGAATATGGTTTAGATTTAGGTGAATTCGTCTCCACTGCTAAGTAAGTTAATCTAGACCTTGATTTCAATATATCCATAATACATTTTTCGGTAACTATCACTTCGTTATATGATTTACATTTGGACTCTATTACATTTTCAAGCAATAAATATTATTTAGGTAATTATTTTTAGTTTATTTTCTAGGAACATTTTTGTAGGTATTGTTGTAAGCTGATGAAGTAGTGAAACTTCATCAGTTGAGATGGCTGGGACACGTGTTACGTATGCCCAACTACCGACTGCCTCGACGTGCGATGTTCAGTGGTATAGGAGTAGGTTGGAAGAAAGATAGAGGCGGCCAAACCAAAACATGGCACAAGTTCATGAAGTCACTGACAAGTGGACTGAGTCATGTTGGTAGGTGTAGACTACCTGGTTGGGGACCGCGAGATGAAAGCAACCGATGGTTAGAGACCTTGAATGACATGGCTCAAAATCGTTTACAATGGCGCCGGTGCATCCACCATTTGTGTTCTCCCAAATTCTAATATTCTGAATTCTTCATGTCCTTTTCTTTTTTCTCTTTCCAAACTTATTTCACTGGATTACACTCCTTGAATAACATCTTCAAACCTTAATTTTTTGATTACAGCTTATAATCTTACTACATCTAGCACTACGGGGTTTGAATCGACCACTGTATCTCTGTGCTAATGTGGTGTGGCAACTCGAACTGATGTACGTACGTACGAAATTCTACGTTGGTACTGACTGACTGAAGTATATTACATCGTTACAAAGGGGATTTATGGAACAATAAACTTAGAATTAACAATGTCTCGCTTGATACATCTAAAAATCTATGGTCTTTGTCAGAACTATGTAGCTTGCTACACGCATAGAACCAATAAGCCACTTAGTGTGAAACATGAAATATATGGGTGATATTATCTATATTTTAAATAAATGTTCATCATTGTTAAAATCATATTTATTTAAAATTCTTTTTCTTTACAGGGGCGTGTTCCAGTGTCTGGTTGAAAAGTATTTTCCAACACCAACAAATGTTGAGAATTTCTCTCTTCGAGGGGATAAACTAGCATCGGCGGGTGATCGCAGCTCTAATACAACTCTCAGTAGAGCAGGACGCGCAATAGCTGCTGGTCAAGGAAGCGGTCTTGGTTTGAAAGATATTTTGGGTGAAAAAATGCTTGCAAAGCTAGTTGCTGGTGGTAGTTTATCTGGATCGAAATTAAGTGATGATTATGAAAATTCCAGTAAAGTTGACGGTGTAGGATCTGATTCTGATGACGATGATGGTAATGAACATTCTGATGAGTCAGATGATGATGATTCTGATTTGAATAATCCTCAAAAAGCTAATGGCTGTAACCTATCAGATGGAAATTCATCATCTGATTATTACGATTCAGACCTGGAAGTGAATTCACCAAACAACAATTCCAGTCGAAATAGATCAAAAAAGTCAGATTCTTCTAAAAAGCAGTCTCATTCTGGTAAACGTAAACAGAAGTATAACCGAGCTGGTGGTTCACCGAATTGCTTGTCAGATGATTCGGACGAAGATTGGGATCCGGACGCATTATTTGACAGCTTCCTAGCTCGCAACATGACTCTGTCCAATTCGACCACTAACAGTGATATAACCAAGCGATTCGATGACAGCAAGCACTTTGGAGATGATATTTGGGGTGATGAGTTGACTCGTAAATTATCACAACAGTATCTTATGGGTCGCGGTTCAGATTCAGCTAATCAGTCGCTGATTGCTAACAATGAACTGAAGGTTTCTCCCGAAGAAGCTAAACGGCAGTGTACTGAAATGCAAAGTTTACTTTTGCGTTTCATTGAAAAGCTTGGTCCAAAGTTACCTCCCAGCTCCCTTGATGAGTTGATTGACAAATTGGGTGGACCCTCACGGGTTGCTGAGATGACAGGTAGAAAGGGTCGTATGGTGATGGGGGATGATGGCCGCGTTTCTTATGAATCTCGTCGTGAAAGTGACGTCAATTTAGAACTACTTAATCTTACGGAAAAACAGCGCTTCATGAATGGCGAGAAACTCATTGCTATTATCTCTGAGGCAGCCAGTAGTGGTATCTCTCTTCAGGCGGATCGAAGGGCATCTAATCAACGCCGGCGTGTTCATATTACATTGGAACTTCCTTGGAGTGCAGATCGCGCAGTTCAGCAGTTCGGTCGTACACACCGATCCAACCAGGTTAGCGCTCCAAAATATATCTTTCTGATTTCCAATTTGGCTGGTGAGCAGCGTTTCGCTTCTACAGTTGCTAAACGTTTAGAGTCTCTTGGTGCTCTGACACATGGTGATAGACGAGCTACAGAAACTCGTGATTTGTCGCAGTTCAATCTGGATACTAAACTCGGACGAGAAGCTTTAGAGTTAGTATTACGTGCTTGTATTTGGGGCGATGAGGGCATAGTTGATCCTCCAAACGACTATATAACTGACACGCCTTTTGACGTTACTGTCGATCGGGACAATTTAAATGCTCAGTCTTTCTTTAACGATGTTAAAGCAAGTTTACAGGGTGTAGGTTTGGCTACTGGTCGATGTCGTGAAAAGGACAGTAATCAAATGTCTAAATTTTTGAACCGCATTTTAGGTATACGTGTTCATATTCAAAATGCACTCTTTCAATACTTTTCGGACACATTAGAAGAAGTTACCAGACGTGCTAAACGTGATAATCGTCTGGATCTCGGAATTTTGGATCTTGGTACTTCTGGTCAGAATTTGGAAATAACATGGACCAAAAGTTTTGATACATGGTTTTTATCAGAATCTACTCAAGTTCATTTACACAAAGTAACTGCTGAACGCGGATTACCATGGTCGGGTGCTATGGAAATATACACTCAGCATGATGGTGTAAATGACGGTTTTTATTTGCCCTCGGTTATTAGTAACAATAAAATTGTTATACCTGTTCTAGCTGTTTATGTGAAAACTCGTACTACGCGGTCGACCAGTAAATCCGATTCGAAATTATATCGTATCTATCGACCAAATACTGGTATGCAGGCACGACCAATTGAACTCGAAAAATTACAGGAACGATATACCCGTGTTTCTAATCCTTCAGATTGTCAAGAGCCATGGAGCCGGATATTTAAAGAAAGTGCTAGACGTTGCATTCATATGTTACTTCATGGGTTTTGTTCATCAACCATCCAAAGTCGAACATTATGTGAAGTCGGTTTACGAACGCGTAATTACTATGTTCTTAGCGGGTCAGTGTTAAATGTATGGGCTAGAATTGAGCCTTTTCTTCAGCTGCGTTCAAATTCTACTCGTTGTATGCAAGTTGTACGTCTCAAGTCAAAGGATGGGAAACGTATTATTGGATCCCTTATCCCTCAAGAATGTGTCCAGGATGTTTTGGCTTGCTTGTCACTACCTCCTGAAACAGAGCATACATCTTCTAGTGATAACTTGGATAAAAAGTGTGGTTTGTCTCACATGGAAGAATCTTCAGGAATTTCAAATAATTTTAATTTATCACCTCATATTCCGAACGTTCCTTGGCCTAGAGGTCAAACATTCAGTGTAAACCCAACTCAGCAATCTAGATTATACAGTGGTCGTCCACCTTCATTTATAAATCAACGACCCAGTAATATTATACGAAAAAAGATCCCACCTCATAATCCTGGAAATACGTACCGTGGTTCACTGTTTACTCAGAGTTCATCTGAACAACGTCGTTTCGGCACACTACGAGAAACTTTAACCACTGATTTAAGTTATATACCAAGTCATTCCAATGGTTATCTATCTACTACATTATCACAATCTCATGTATCCAATTCTTCTAAAGGTGTGAGTCCAATGTACTCGAACACTTCTATACACAATTTTGGATCTACTCGTTTAAATTCTAATACAAAAATGGGTAGTCGATTAAATGCTGCTCTATCATTACCATTACTCTCTGATAATCCTAATATTCAATATCAAACATCATGTAGTAGTAGTACTATTACTACTAGTAGTAATACTAATTATTCTTCTACATTAACTAATCGTATCAATGATATACCATTATCTAATATTTCATCTGTTAATAATAATACAATTATTCCTTCTAATTTCTCAACGAATACAATGAATAATGTTAAGAACCCTTCAAATAAAGTGACACGTTTCAAAATAAAATGGAAAGATGGTTAAAGAGTATATTCCATGATTATGATAGTCTTTCTATTATTACTATGTAAAGTCAATCTCTATTTGTACTTTCTTATTTACCCTTTTAAGAGAGAGAGAGAGTATATGATTATGATAATGAATTTATCATATAAAACTAAAGATTTTCTTTCTTTTCTTTTTCTTTTTTTTCATCATTTAGTTTATTGAATTATTTTTCTATTAGAAATTTCACTGGTGTCAATAATTAATTTTTAGATAATAATTTTGTGTAAAAAGAAGAGAAAAGAAAGAAACGAAAAAGGACTATTCCTTCTTTCATCACATGAATTCAATTGTCATGTGTCACTGTATAATGAATCAATCTATGATGTAATCATATCCCCCTTCTTCGTCGTCGTCGTTTTCTTCTTATTCACTTACATACTTTGGCTTGTTACTTTCAATAGAGTATAGTCAGTCCATTGACTAATATTCTTCAACCCTTTTCACATTGTCCTGGATCATTGTTTTTCCCTTCCTTCCTTCTTTCCCTCTTCTATCCCAATGGTTGTTTATTTCTTTTTGTTCATAACAGTTTTATTTGTATATAGCCCATTTTTTTTCCTTATAAAAACAAGAAAAAGAGGTTTGTCAAACGTGAAGATATTTGATGTTCTATTTTTTTTTTTTTTTGTTTTGTTGCTGACTACCTCTTTGAAAAGACATGATAGTTACTGTATGTTTGAATTGTGAACAGTCATTTCTTTCTTTCTTGTCTTTTCAATCTTTGATTTCTCTTAGTGTATTATTGCATCTATCTGAATGAACTTTTGTTGTTCTTTTCTTTTCTATTCCTAACCAATTGAACTTAGTCGATATTCTGTTTATGGTACTTGTAGAAGATATAATCAATTTGTATTTGTTTCTTATTTCAGATGAATAAAAACAATAAATATCTTTCTATAATAGTTACAAATGAGTAATATTAGTTCTTGACGAATGTTTTCGACATTCTTTGTTATTTATTTATCAGTTGAAGTTAGACATTAACATCGTTGGATGCTGAATCAATGGTCTAGTGGTTAAGCGCTCGCGCGCGCGAGACTGATAAATTTGGGTTCGAATCTCGCAGGGTCGTGGATGCGCACTGCTGAGGAGTCCCAAAATTGAACGAAAGGGTCGTCCAGGTTTTGTATGGTGGTCTAGCTTCAACTGACTCGTGATCTCAACCATTGAAATTACTATGATATCCACAAAACCCCTTCTGATATTTATTTGTTATTTAAACACATAAATCTTGGTACACGAAGGCACTGAAGAGATATGCGCCACATAAATCATTCGATTTATGTGAGTGCTAGGATACTGCTTGGGTGCTCAAACAGAAGCAGGTAGTTTACTTAAGGGGCCAGATCCGACCCTTCGACCTAAAGGTCTGATCCACAAGACAGTGGAGCGACGTTAGGAGATGTAGTCCCATAGTAGCCGGTGTCCAATAATTGGTTCGTATGCCATTTGTCCCTTCACGATCCTGTAGCCCATGTACACCATTGGTTTGGAATGAAGGTTCTCCAACTCCCCTAGGTGGATTCTCCGTGTTCACCAACCCAGTTATTTGCTATTAATCCTCTCGGTTTCGTAAACAATACCCCCGTCACGAGAATGCAGTGAGTAGGATTTCTACGGCCGTGGTTGTATGCACGTGGCCATGTGAGATTATTTCGAGAGGGAGAGTTGACTTTCCCCACTCAGTCGTACCAGGGCATTTGAGGGCCATGTAGAACTGGTTTAAGTTTCTAAATGCGACGACTAAGCAAAACAAAATCAGTCATCTTTAGTAAAAATCTAAGTTCAGTAATTCTCACTTCATCTCGTGTTAATTCTGTGTTTATCGCACCGTCAAATATTTTACCAGCTCATCTTATCTTGTATCTGGATTTGACTTTAACATTGCTTACTGAGTTGTCTCAACGTGAACGAGCAACGCTTCGCAGACACCTGTGGTCGAATACTAGCACTAACAAATCTATTTGTGAAGGTCACTCTTTACTAAACAGATTGCTGAGTGGTAAATTCATCCTACAGCTGGGGTGTATCTCGTTTATGCCATAATTGGGCAAAGGTCAAATAATCTTTGAATCCACTAGGCCAGATGGGACTATAGGCGCTCGATCTCGCTCTATAACGAGTGACGATCAATGTACCATAATATTAGAATTTTACTCTTAACTCCGTATATTATACTTAGGCTAATCCAGTTTAGGCGACATTAGTAATAAGAATCCGAATACAATATATTGAGAAGACTCATTCCAAGCAAGGTGAGAAGTGAAACAGGAAAGGTAAATGTATCAGGTCTCTCTTGCTATGACGTGGCTTATAGCCATGAATGCTACAAGTGGGTATTTGGACGTGTATGATTGTGCGCACACATCACTGACAGAATGACTTGGAAGATTAAAATAATTGAGTGAGGATGGGTTGTGTTAAGCGTGTGACAATCCTAGTTGCTACGTGATACCCATGGTACATGAATTAACTGCTATCTGTCATTAGATCGGGCGTTGATCATGACTAGTTCTGCGGCCGAATTACACATTTAGAGTGCAGTTAAAGTTTGTTCTTCCTTGCTTGCGATCTGCTCTACTCTGGAAACATATCAAGTTAGCTTGCTTTTTTTGCAGTTAGTCATACTCAACTTGGAACCTGGTTCAAGTGAGCTCATGGGAAGCATACAATATCCAAACGTAGTCAACATGGTGAAGGCTAGAGATTTTGTGAAATAAATAAATTTCTTGGTCTCTGTAACGTTTTTATATATAGTATTGGTCTGTGTTAAATCACATCATTACCGTCAAGTAACTGTAATTGTAATTCGTTTATGATAAAGGGACGTCCAAAACAGATGAATTAGTCACCATGCTTAACTATCTCACTCTCTACCATTAGTCTATATGTTGATACAAAGTAGTTTTGAAGCACATTTCGTTTTAAAAGGAGAAAAACGTCACAAACTTGTAGAAATTGTTAACCAAGATAGTCAAAAGACTACATTTTGTTAGCACCAATTAGTCTGAAAGTTATATCTTTAAAAGAATATCCGTCACCATACTAAATAAATATAGTGACAAACAACTCTGACTAATGCAACATAAGGTTGATTGTCCACCATAAGCTTTCACCAAATCGATAGTCTTTGGAGGTGTAATTGTCGGTCTAAGCTATTTTCGTTCTTCATCGTGTTCTGATCCTGATAGCATATGTTTCTGAGCATTTATCAATTCAGTAAACGTTTTGAAGTCACAGGTAAATATTACTGCTTATTATTCAGATATTTGGATATCATACCAAACTATTTCGGAGTGAATACTTTCATGACATAATTATTCTTTTCCTGAAGTACCTACTTGATCATTCTAGCAAATCTAAGGGATTCATTTAATTATAAACCTAAGTAAACGAGAGATAGCAGTCAAATGTTAGGTATTCTTTGTGTTAATCACCCTGATCTGTAGTATTGTCTAGGTAAAGTCAACTGAGTGTTCGTACTTGGTTGCTGTATACGTGTTTGGGAAATGCAACACAGATTGGTGCTATGAGACGTTTCGCTGGTCGTGATCGTCGCTCTATTTGATCTGGTATTTAGATGTTGAATATTCCGGTATCAGAGCTTTAAGCGCGATCTCAAGGGACATTGGATGGCATTTCGGGAACTTAAATCGTTAACACTAATAAGACATGGAAGTAGGCAGAGACTCTTGGCGAAAATAGAAAAGATGCTCGGAAGTTATGATGAGATCAGACAGTAACTTTGTTTGATTGCTATTAAAGGCGTACGAACGATTGTCCAGACTGGGGGGGGCACTTCTTGATATACATGAAGACTAAAATGGATTGTGACTTCACAGATAAACAATAACTGCTTAAGGCCGGCTATACACTGCCCTTTTTTGAGTAGTTTTAACTCTGTTAGCAACGAGAAAGATGGTTATAAAAAATGAGACGTTCGGTTTTCAGGGTTGACCTTTTGTATCCTCATTCTGTTTTGGGAAAGTAGTACTGGAGGCTGGCTATATGGAGGATTACAGTGTATTTAAGTCATGGATTCGATGATCGCTGAGCATAAATTCTCACTTACCTACTTTCATTTGTAGATTACAATATGTCACTAGAATCGATATGGTTTATGAAGCCAAATAAACAACTATTATTACAATTATATTGATATTCTGGTTAATATAGCATGCATGCATGATAATGATGAATTTAAAGTTATTTTTCTTAATATCAGAAAGGGGCTTTTGTGGACATAATAGTAATTTAATGGTTGAGATCATCAGTCAATTGATACTAGATCACAATGGAAAACCTGAAGGTACTGGATAGCCGTTTCGTCCTCTTGTGGGATTCCTTAACAATGCGTATCCACGATCCCGCCCTGCGGGATTCGAACCAAGGACCTTTTTCTTAATTAAGTTTATTCTTTCTTATTTGTACAGTATCTGATATTTTTATGTAAGATAATTAGACTATAAATGTCAATTCCCTAATATGGAAACTATGGAGACTGATTATTTTGCCTAGTACGATAGTTGATAGTTAACTGGCAAGGCTATTCAGAACATAAAGTCCAACGTCAATGAAAAAATCCTTGAACTTGTAATAATACTAATACAATTTTACAAATTGAATAAACCGGTTAACAGATAATAACTACAGAAGTCACAAGAGTGTAATTAATTTTGTTGATTACAATGCATTTTACTTTGTAAACTCACAGTTCGAAATCATTTGATTTGTGTGACGGCCGGGATTCTAACCGGGTGCCCAAACCGAAGAAGGTGACTTTCATAAGGAGTTACACCCCCAGCCTTTAACCTAGAGGTTTAATCCACAAGACAGTGAAGCAACATTAGAAGATACAGTCCCATGGTGGCCGATGACCAACAATTGGTTCATACGCCTTTTATTCTCTCAGGATCCGGGAGTCTATGTTCACTATTAGTTTGGAATCAGGGTTTTGAAACCCTCATATGTGGATC